ATTACAAAATTAGGTTCAATTATCGATCCATTAAATGTACCTTTTAAAAATGACAATAAATTAAATATATAATTATAAATTGTTTATCATTAATAACACTCGCTCTTCTCGTTAAAAATTTTAATATACACATATGTATGTATATCTCATTGTTATTGATCTCTGGTTGTTTAATCAGAATTATCAAAAAAGTTTTGGGATCGAGATCATTTGGGCACATTATATAATTCATTAATGACATAATATTTTATGAACAAGAAAATTTGTTATTTGTCATTTTTTATTTCAATATTAAATTACATATTGGAATTCAAGTGAATTGACGATAATATCATCAATGAATGTTAATTATTATCATATACATTAGAGATATGATTTAATATCAGCCTCTAAACTAGCAGGCTAAAAATAAAAAATAAAATAAATATTTTCCTTTAATTTTATTTTAAACTTCAATTTATTATTATTAAAATTTTTTTTTACCTTATCACCAGAAACATAACGTTTGACAACATTTCCTTGACGATCGATTAAAAATTTTTCAAAATTCCACTTGATGTCTCCTGGTAATTTTGATTTCAGAAATTCATAAACTGGACTTGTAGACTCACCATTTACATCGATCTTTGCAAATAACGGAAAGGTTACATGATATTTATCATTTCTACAAAATGTTTCAATTTCTTTCCCCCAAAAAATAAATAAATAAATAAATAAATTCCTTTTTTTTTATTTATTTAAAAAAAAAAATAATAAAGATTTATTTATTTTTTTACCTCCTTCGGCGCCAGGTTCTTGAGCTCCGAATTGATTACAGGGAAATCCAAGAACTTCAAATTTTGAACTTTTGAGTTTTTGATAAAGTTCTTCTAATCCATTATATTGTGGAGTATATCCACATTTTGAAGCAACATTTACCACCAATAAAACTTTTCCTTGATATTCAGAAAATTTCAATGGGTTTTTTTTAATGTCCAAAGCTTCTAATTCATAAAAATTTGTTGCCATTTTTGTAGTCAATGTTCTACAGTTGAAAAGATTAGAGGGATAAAAGGATAAATAATTTTCAGGAAATTTTTGTACACTCCTTATATATGAAAATCCGAACACTGATTTCCTAATTATTGAATAAGTAAGTGAACAATTATTCAAAATCTTTGGATTCATTATTTTTACACAAAGTTATCATATATATATAAATTAATAAATGTATTTAGTGTTAGTATTATTATATATATTTAGTGATCGGCAATGGCAAATTTTGAAAACGTGGATGGGTTTTTGGATGGATAGTTAATGTATAATACTTTTTCCCCATTGATGTAAAATCGACAAAAGTTTAAAATTTAACGTAATCTGTTGTTTCATGATAGTTGGTCATTGGTGAAACATTTTAAATATTTAGTATTATCGATGGCAATGGACCAGATCAAAACTTGTTGGTGAACATTATAAAGAAATTACAGAAATCAATATTATTTAAAATCACATCGTATGTACTACCACTAATCTAAAAGTGGTGGGTGGCTCTAGCCAAAATAACATAATTGTGTTTCTTCGGCTTAGACTAGGTTATATATGATGTCTTATATATTGTTTTTTGTCGTCGTGATACATTTTCGTCGTCACGACACTGAGTATGTGGCACATTTCTGTCGCCACCACGTGCAGAGGGATGCGTAGCATCCTGACATTCCAAGTTTACATACAACATTGAGGTTGCTAGCTTGCGTAAGATTACCAAACTTTTTCTCGCTCGAGGTGAGGCACGTTGTGCTAATATCAGAACTAGGATGCGAGTCATCCTATCATCCTATTGTGCAATAATGTAATTTTTAATAAAATAAACTATTTCATGGCCAAATGGAGCATTTATCAGTTTAATAGATTGCTTTAAATAGACCCGCTATCCCTCACTTGTGGGTCAAGGATACACATCTCCATACTAATACTACATTTCCTATCTTATCATGTGATATATTTTTTACAGAGCAATATAAATACGAGTTGGATCCATTTTTGTCGTCTTTTACTTCATCGCTATTGTTACTAGGATTAGGATTTAATGCTACTTTGTTGGTCGAAATACCCTAATTTCAAATCAAATCTTTTATTCCTATTTTTACTTTATTTTTACTTTATTTTTATATCTATATTTATTTATTCTTTATATTTCTTATTTTATTTTTATTATTTTTATTCGTATAACGTCGAAACTAGCTACGTCGCAATTAAAGTACGATATCGCGGTTAGAGTGCAAGATTGCAATGAAGTTGCTACTAATTAATTTAATTCTATATAAGAAGCTCAAATTTGATATAATTGTAAAAATAACTTTGTCTTAGTTTTAATAGCTTTGTAATAAAGTTTTAATAACTTGTAAATTAACTTGGAAATAAGTTAATAAATTAGTTTCGACTAAATAAAACGTTTTCTTGAATCGCTAAACCAAAATTATTCGCTAATAAAACTAATTCGTTAATAATAGCCAATTCATTCTGATCCACATAATCATAAATTTATATTGTTATCATCAATTAACACGCTCTCCCAAATAATAATTGGTGTACATTATATAACATTTTTAAAAAAAAAAAAGAAACTATTAAAACAAAGTTTAAAACAAGCTATTAAAGTATAATCAAAAATATACAAATATTATGCTTAACAATACATATATTCTGGTTTTCAATCTAAGACATGATGTTCTGGAATAATAACAGAGAATTGACCACTTCTCTTTTTGAATGAAATGACATACTCATATATTTTAATTCGCGTATAGATATCTCAAATTAATGTTTGGATCTTTTTCATTTTTTATCTTCTTTGGAATGATGCTCTTCACTAACAAGATTGACAGGAATATTAATAACCATAAGAATTTACAAACATGCCAATATAAATGTATCTACATTGACATTGAACAATTCTGTAGATGGAAAACTCACTGGAATTGAAAATCTAGAAAATCAAAATATAGGGGATGGTTTCAGCAACTCGTTTTCTCAAGCGCAAGACCTCTTTTCCTTAGATGAGTGGACAATGTCAGTATAATATTTACAAACTATTAGTCTCTAGCCGTTTATCTATCGGATCGGTCAGATCTGATGAATTCATGAGTCTGTTTTCCAATCAATGAAGAAATAAACTGGGATATCGGGTATATAAAATTTGTAATTCCACCACAATCCTCAACAACGTACGATAAATGCGATTAATGTGTAAGTGGAGAATGAAAATTTAAAAAATAATAACTTAGCGCCTTTTTCTACTTCTTTTTCATTGATCGTTGAGCTCAAAGAATGGGATGGACATTTAATGGTCTTGGATCCCATGCATTTGTTTTCTTTGATCCATGGAAGCTCAGTGCTTTTTAATAATGTATTATTATTGTGAGGATCGATCATATTTTTATAAACAATAACAAAGTTAAATTTTGATTTCTTGTCCAACTATCAATATTCATGTCAGTAGAAGGATCCTTCCTGATAATCTCTCACCGTCCATACCACTATACAGTGAATCTTGGTTTAGTGAACCTCGATTTAGTGATACTAATTAAAAATCTCGGTTTAATGGATGAAGTCCTCCATAATAAACCCTTTTCGATATAATGGATTTCTTCCCTAATATTAATTATAATTGTCCAAACTATACGTTAAACCAAGATCCACCGTGTATCTTCTTTTCAATAGCAAACTTTTCAATTAATAAATTAATTTCCATAGGTTAAAATTTCTGAAAGTTTAACCTTACACTTTTAAATCAATTCTCATTTAATTCTCTGCTTTTCTTTTGACTATCTTTTAGAAATAGTTCTTTTACTATTCATATTATCATTATTATTCTTAATTGCTTTGTGATTTTGCACTTATAATTCATATTAAAAATATATACACTATTTTCCAGATAGTAATTCGCATTCTTCATTAATTCTATGATTACAGAGACCCTCAGTTGAGTTACGAAAACTTCATTTGCCCACAAATTATGGGAGCGGAATGATACAGGCAATTACTATCTTGTTGCCTGTCCACATATTAAAATTTCAAAATCTTCTGGCAACAAAAAGCAAGAACCTTGGTCAATAGATATGTTGGAGAAATGTGTATGTGAATGTTTCTTTGATTAGGAAGAATATTGCTGTTTTCTAAATTTGACGATATGGGATTGTTATTATCAATATCTACTAATGCAGCATGAGCTTTCTGTTGATTCATTCTTTGTTATTTTTAAAAATGAAATTATATTTATAAACATAATTGATTGGAAGATGTAGGATTTTTTCATTCTTTATTTTTTTGTTGTTAAAGAAAAATAAATTCTTTGATTGATCTAATACAAATAAAAGGCGGGCTAATTGTTTTCAACGTTTTAAAAGAATCTTTATCCCTCTCTACGAACCAATAAAAGAGCATTTTTGATTGTTAAAGAAATCGATTTTTATTTCTATAAACCAATAATTCTAAATTCTTTGTTAAAGAGATCAATTTAAAGACTCTCTTGGCTTCGTTAATTAAACTAGCTTTTATCTCTACGAATTAATAAGAATTATTTTAAAATTGTTTGGCTTCACTAATACTGATTAAAAAATAGACTCGAATAATAAAAAAAAAAGGACCATTAAAAAATGGAACGTTTATTTTATCATCCACAAATTTAATTATATAAAAAAACAAATTAAAATTATTTTATTGGAGAATCAGTATTATATTTTAATGAATTGCAAGTATTTAGCGTCAATGTTGTCGTAATTGATGTTTTCAATAATCCAAGTCTCTAAGAACAAAAAATTTTTTTTGCAGATATAAATATTGTTTTTAATGGAATAATACAAGCAAAATTGAGATAAATTATATCAACTATTGGATTTTAAAGATGACTAAAGATATATATACAAGAAACCTTCTTATAATGATGTTAAATGATAAAGTATTACAGTAGAAATTACAAATAATAGTTTTTGTTTTAAAGACTTACAATAGCTCTGCTTCTTTTATTTTTTTAATAATGATGTGCCAGTCATTTCTTTTGGTATTTCTAATCCCATGACATCTAAAATTGTAGGAGCCACATCACACAGTGCACCTTTTGCAGATTCAGAAAACGAATAATTCTTTGATGTCATAACAAAGGGAACTTTTAAATATAAATATAATTAATAAAAAATATATATTTATATTTAAAAATTATTATTTGTTGTTATTACTATTATTACCTGGATTACAAGTATGAGCAGTATGAGGATTACCATCTTCACCTTTCATTTGCTCAGCGTTACCATGATCAGATGTAACGAAAAGTATATAGTTATTTTTTTTGCAAGCTTCGTATATCAAACCAATAACTTTATCGGTTGTTTCAACAGCTTTCACTGCTGCTTCATAAATTCCTGTATGACCTACCATATCAGGATTTGCAAGATTACACATGATGAAAGGAAACTTTCCACAAGTTATTTCTTCTACAACCTTTTCTGCAATTTCTAATGCTGACATTTCTGGTTTGAGATCATAAGTTGCTACTTTTGGTGATTGAATTAGATGGCGACATTCAAGTTCAAATTGTTTCTCCACTCCTCCATTAAAAAAAAATGTTACATGTGCATATTTTTCGGTTTCTAAAAAAATAAACGTTTGATTATTGATTCTTGATATCAAAAAAAAAGACATTATAAATATTGAAAATTATAGATATTATTATTTACCTGCAACATGACATTGAGGAATCTTATTCTTTGAAAGCCATTCAGCTAAAATATTATCCATAATTTGTGAAGAAAATGCCACTGGAAATGAAAATTCCGTTTTATATCTTGTCATAGTTGTGATATGCTAAATAAAGTAAAATTTTGTTCATTTTTAATTAATAAAAATATGTTAATGTTTTAATTCTTTATTTTTTTTATAATAACATACAAGATTTTTTGGAATCTCAATCTCAAATGGTGGTGGTGAAATACCAAGAGTCTGGACAATTTGACGCATTCGATCAGATCGAAAATTAAAAAAAAACAATGTATCATTATCTAAACAATAATAATATTTAATTAAAAACAATTTTTTTTTTTTGATATAAAAAAATTTTTGTTTATTAATTTGTAATAAAAAGATACCTTTGATAAGTCCTTCTTCATTAACAATTATTGGTTTTAAAAACTCATCAGTTTCATCTTTGTTATATCGTTCATGAATAGTCTAATTTATAAATATCAATATATATAAATATCTCATCAACTAATTAATAATAATTATAATATATATATGTATAATTATCTAACTTGTAAAGGATTGTCAGTTTTTTCTCCAATTCCTCGAGTCAAACCATCAACTGCAATCTTAATTCTTTCCCATCTTTTATCTCTATCCATAGCATAATATCTTCCAGTCATGGTAGCAATTTTACCATAATTAATTTCACCTGAAACTTTTTGGAGCTGTTCAAGATATTTATCAGATGAACGAGGATCGGTATCACGCCCATCACCAAAAAAATGCACATAAGCATCACAAATACCAAAGCCTTTTGCAGATTCCAAAAGGTGAATTAAATGATTGATATGACTGTGGACACCTCCATCAGATACCTTAAATAGTAATGATGAAGGTAAGAATTATTAATTTGTTTATTTATTAATATTTATAAAATATATACTTACTAAACCAAGAAAATGAATTCTGTTTGACGTTTCCTTGGCATGTTCAAAAGATTTTCTAATATTTTCAATTTTAAGAAATTCTTTTTTTTTAGCAACCAAATCAATTCTTAATGCATCCTAATTTTTATAGTTGTAGTATATGTGATTGTCTTATCTTTTTATTTATCACCCGAAAGATTACATATATACCTCTCTTATTCACCTGATGAACTACACGACCTGCACCAATATTCAAATGACCAACTTCAGAATTACCCATAAGTCCGTCAGGTAACCCAACAGCCAAACCATGAGCTTCTAATGTTGCATAAGGATATTCTGCCTTAAATTTATCCATTATAGGCGTATTTGCATTAAGGGTTGCATCACCAGTAGGATCCTCTGAGGAAATACCCCAACCATCAATACAAATAAGACAAGCATTTTCTTTCATTTTTTTAAAAATTTTTATTACTGTTGTGAGGTCATTTTTTCGAGTTTAAAATATATATTAATATGTTGTAGATTATTTCTATTTTCTATTTTATAACAAAACAATCTAACTAACGCGTATATATAAATAATATAAAATAAAAAAATATACAGCAAGAGTATCGATTAGTATTAGTTATTAATTTATTACTGTGGTTCCCATAAATATCATAACCACCTCTTCATATTTTGCTGCAAGATCAAGCAGGATGTGGAAAATTGTTGGTTTTTTTGGAAATCCTTAGATGTAGGATGATGTATTGGGTATTCGATATAATTAATGTCAATAATGTATGTAAATGAGCAATAATGAAAACTTTTCAGATTATCATTACAACTATTATTACTGTTGTTATTATAATAAATATCCCAAATAAAACGAATTAAGACCGAGTTATATTATTATTACGAACAAAACAAGATGGAGTTGTATTATGAATAATTAGAATAATTTAAATAAGAATTTGTATTACGAATAGAAATTCTAACTCTTGCTACGAGTATTGTATTTTTATTTTATTTTGAGCAAATGTATGATTTTTGTTATTCTAAGGGACCCATATCAGCTAAGTGTTTATGCCACTAAATTCTGCACTAAAATTCCAGATGTAAAAAATGGGTGTTAAGAGAAATTTCTTTTTAGCCGGCTCACATATTTGCAAGAAATCGAAAATCTATGGAAGGGCTCCAAACAATTGTTTGACAAAAAGACTGGGTTGAGTTCGATGAAATGGTTATTGAAATTCGTGAATTACTAGCAGAAGTAAAAGGTATTGTTGCTTCCACAATAAAAATTTTTTACAAAGAACAAAAAAAAAATCTTAGAAGAAAAATAATAAAAGTAATTCAACAGTGGGTTGAAAAGGAAAAGAAGAGATAGAGTGTGAAAAGATGAAAAAAATAATAAAAACAACGATGATATGAATATTAGCGATAACAATAATGTTAATGATAGCATTAGTAACAGTGAAAGTGAAATTTTTGTCCAAGTGCCAAAAGAATAGGTAATACTTACAAATGGCTTTGGGTCTAAATATTTTCCTCCTAAGACTATCAATATACTTAATGGCCGTGATTTCTTTTATTTTATAAACCAATCAAATTATATTTTATGTTGATAAAAATTTGGCAAATGAGATAGTTGTTCCATCATGATTATTAATGATATCATGAAATTTAGCCAAAAAAAGTAAGAAATAACGAGGAATTCACGTCAAAACTTGCGATTTCCTCAATAAGTTTTTTATTTCAAACAACCATTTTTCTTTAAAGCACACATTTTTTTTCTTAAAAACATCATTTTGGACGCGTAATACTTAAAATTATAAGTAGTAACGAAAGTTTCTTTGCAAACAAAATATACAAACAAATACATCTCATTCTAACAAAGTGTTTGGATTTTGAGCCACGCGTAATACTTACAAATAAACAACAATCTTCTAATAAAAAATTTGGATTTAAAGAAAAATATTCCTACACCTACACATTACACCTGTATAATCTTACATTTTAACAGAAAAATTCGAAGGGACTTGAAAAAAAAAGTTTTCAAATATATAGACATACATACATTCTTACATACACATGCACATACACATATAAATATATACCAACCAAAATTTTACGGATTCTAACATGAATTTTTTTTATCCTGTTTCAATTTGGATGATAGAACTTAGGAGCTATTGGAGGACAGACAACTTCCAGTATTTCAGTGCTTCCGGCGGTCAGGACAGTGTTCCAGTGTACGAGAGTTCCAGAGTACGATAGTTCCAGAGTCCCAGGGTACCAGAGTCCCAGGGTACCAGTGTTCCAGGGTACCAGAGTTCCAGGGTACCAGTGTCCAGAGCACCTGAGTTCCTGAGTATGAGCGTTTCAATGTTCCAATGTACCAATGGTACCAGCGTTCTTGTATTCCAGTGTACCTGAGTTCCCGAGTCCCAGAGTCGAGAGTACGAGCGTTCCAGAGTACGAGAGTTCCAGAGTACGAGCGTTCCAGAGTACGAGCGTTCCAGAGTTCCAGAGTACCAGCGTTCCAGAGTACGAGCGTTCCTGTTCCTGTGCCGGTTTTCTTGGTTACTGGATTTCTGGATTAGCGGATTTACCAGATTGGCTAATACTAAGTTTCGGAAAGGTGTTGGTTTTCTTGGTTAATGGATTTCTAGGTTAGCGGATTAATGGATTGGATAATACTAAATTTCAGATTTTGCTGCTTCCGGGTAATTATTAATTCAATTGTTTATTTTGAATATGTGTATGTGTATATATGTATATGAATGGTTATGAATGTGTATATGTGTGTATAATTGAAAACTTTGGATGTTGATTATGTTGATTTTTTTTAATTTTTTTATTTAATAATTATTTTAATCTTTATTTATAGTTAAATTTAATTTTTGTAAAGTGTGCAGATTGTAGATCGTTGATATAAATAAATTCAAAATCTAAATAAAAATTAATTGAAGGAAAAAAAAAATGTCTTCTTTGGTTTTACGCTCATTAAATAAAAGATTAATAAATAATTCTTTTGGTAAAAAAACCAATTTTTATTTACTTTACATTAAAAATACATACATACATACATACATATATATATATATATATATATATATACATACACGATTATATTATTAATAAATATAATAATATGATATAGGTAGATCAGGAGGTTCAATTCATCATTACCATAATATATTAACAGAAAGTCATGGAACAGTTGGATTGATTACATTGAATCGGCCAAGGCAATTGAATGCTTTATCAAGTGATTTATTTAATGATGTTAATGACGCATTGGAAAAGTATGATAGTGACCCGGAAATTAGAGCAATTGTAATTACTGGAAGTGAAAAGGCTTTTGCTGGTAAATCACTCGTTATTCATTATTATGAAGAAGACTATGATACCAACAAAAATAATATATGTATATATTTTAACCATCGTTATATATAGCTGGAGCAGACATTCAAGAAATGGCAGATAAAACTTTTGCAGAAGTTTATAAGACAAATTTTCTTTGGCATTGGGGGAAAATTAATGAAATAAAAAAGCCAATTATTGCTGCTGTTAATGGTTATGCTGTAAATATATATCTGTTGAAGGAGAAGGAGAGGATAAAATATTTTATTTACTAAATTAATTTTATTTTTTATTGAATTTATATATGTAGTTGGGCGGTGGATGTGAATTAGCAATGAGTTGTGATATAATTTATGCAGGTGAAAAGGCTATATTTGGTCAACCTGAAATTAAATTAGGTGTAATACCAGGTAATTATCATTTTATTGTATTTATTTACATATACGCACAGCTTTTATACATTCACTTGATAAAAAAATAATTTTTTTTGTTTAGGTGCTGGTGGAACTCAAAGACTTACAAGAGCGATTGGTAAATCAAAAGCAATGGAAATAATTCTTACGGGTAAAAATTTTACAGCTCAAGAAGCAGAACAATGGGGACTTGTAAGTAAGATATTCCCGGTGGATAAATTACTTGATGAATCAATTAAACTTGGTCAAGAAATTGCTGGATTTTCACAGCCAGTCACCCAAGCTGCTAAAGAGTCCATTAATAAATGTTAGTGCTTATTTATTATATATGCTAATGTGTAAACTTCTAATAATATGTTTAAATATATATTAATATTGAAATTTATGGGGGGCTTTTTTCTTTAAAGCATTTGAATTATCGTTAAAAGAAGGAAATCATTTTGAAAGAAGATTGTTCCAAACTCTTTTTGCATTGGTATGAATGATTTTAATTTTTTATTTTCCTCGCGTGACTTTTAACGATGAGATTTTTAATAATTTATGATTTTAAATTTAATAGAAAGATAAGTTTGAAGGTATGGAGGCATTCCTCAAGAAACGTCTACCACAATGGAAACACGAATAATAGCAATAACAATAAACATTATTAGTATCATTATTATTGTTTAGTTTTAATAAGTTTGATAAATAAAGTTATTTTTTTTTTGTAAATCTGGGAGCAATACTAGACAAAAAATGTCTTCAATCTTTTTTGTTGATAAATACAACGATAAAGAAATTAGGTTATTTTCTCAAAAATCTTTTTCTTTTGCTATTTTTTCGTTTAGAGTAGCAATGATATCGGAAAATTTATCTGGAATTAATCAACAAGATAAGAACTGTTTCCCGAAGTAGTCTTTTGAATGTTGGCATTTTCTTCCTCTCAGATTTACACAATCAGCCACACAAAATATTCGTTAATACAGTAGAAGGATGATAACAAATTTTGAGAATCTAAAGCTCTATTGATATTGTGAGTCATATATGTATATGTGTGCGTGTGTGGATGGGTAAAAAAAATGAAATTTGTACAAATAGTGAATGAGTAATATGTTCTCATTTCAATAAATGAGGTATATATACCAAAAAATTCACTCCTTGTGATGATTGTTTGGAGCATAAACATTAAGTGTAGTTGTGAAGGTCAGACATTATGAGAAAGTTAGCAAAGCTTCCATTTTTTCTTTTTTGAAGAATGTTAAGGGGTTCGTTGTCACAAAAAAGATAATTGCATGCCTTTAAGCTTGTAAATTTTAATAATAAATTATTTTGATATCAGGAGGTATATGTTTTGCTATCAAATGGATCAGTTTGGTAAATTTAAATAAAATAATGTGTTTTCTTCAAAATTCTTTTTTGTATTTCTATTTGGTGATGATGTATTCTTTTCAGGTACTTGTTTAGGGGAGTGCTTACAATTAATAATGATATTAATTACGAATATTCTGGTCCATATGAAGCTTGTAGTAAAGATTCAATTAAAGGATTGGTATGCATTTTTGAAAAAATTAATAATAGCATCACTGAGACAATTTTATCAACAAAATTAGGATTAGAACAAAGTGATAACAATAATGATGATGATACATTTAATGATAGTGAAGATTTAGATGAGTTTCAAAAAATTAGTGACAATAATAACAATAATAATCAAGGTGTAAACTTAGACATTGGTTCTGGGCAAATTAATAATGATGACAATGGGAAAAAATATCAATTTAATAATGTTTTAAATCAACAGCCAGATTATTCATCATGGATTGACCGTATCTTATACCTTTGTGACATTAATTGAGAATGATTATTATATATATATGACATCAATAAAGATGGCGAGCACTATATTGATGAGAGAATGACAATAATAATTTGACAATAAACAGGATGATAGTCAATTATTGTATTTGATTAGTTTCAAACTTATATTGATATGTGACAAACCTTTAAAATAGTAAAGCTCCTAATGAGCTGGCTTGCGAGCTGGCTTATGCGGAAATAGTCTAATAAATTAAATCGTACTACTCGAAAATGTATTTAAAGGGTTGGTTTTCGACTTGGTTGAAGGATAACTCTCTTCCTAACTCTTCTCTTGACCATATTTCTTGATATAATCAATATAATGAATGTCGACGAAATGATTGTAAACACAACCAATTGTTCCATTGTTGCATCATCTATTGCTGATTTAACGTTACCCGGATCATCATCAACTGTATTTTCGTTATTTTCGATATTTTCATTTTCGTTTAATCTTTTCATCATACTTTTCTTTTAGTGCGTTGACATTTTTTTTGATTTCGACTTGAAGATATCAAACATTTAGATTGGCACCTTTGTAGACAATGATTGTGATAACCATGTCCACACACAAGTACACTACAATTATTCAAATTAGTATAGTTGGTGCAATCACAATATATGAAATTGAAAAAAATGTTTATAGATGGTTTCGTATACTTGGAAGGTAATGTTCGGTTATTTTGTAAACTAAAGAAGTCAATTTGTATGAGTTAATATCATTAGATGAAGTTTTAGTAATCAAAGGATGCTGATTTCGTGTTTGATATATCTTCGTAAACACATCTAAAAGCAATACAGCACACTTTCAGGAAAGCATATGCAATTGCTTCAGTGTATATGGATATTTCATAGAATCTATGAAATGTTGTTGAAAAGTATTATCCTTTTGATGCTGAAAAATAAAACTTGCCTCCTTTTTCAGTTGTTGTGCAGTGAAAAACTTAGCTGTACGTCATCAAATAATGCTGTGAATGATTTCTACAGAATTATCACTTAAAGAGGCAAGATAATTAGTAACCATATCAATCATTGGATGATTTTTCTCCATCCAATAAAAGACTAAAATATTAAAAAAAATTATCTGAAAATTATCATTTACTTCATGTAAAGCAGTATCTAGATGTTTTTTTATTTGTCTCTTCATTTTTTTTATATTCTTTTTCACATTGACCTTGTAAATTTATTTCTGAGAAAAATGAAACATGGTCACTTTGAACAGGATTGGTATCTTCATTATTTTCATGACTTTTACCATGACCTCTACCAACTGCTATAACTTCATGACTTTTGCAACTTCCATGAATTCCATGATTCCCACGACTTCTGTGATTTCCATGACTCCCTTGATTTTGTTTCATTATACAGTAAATAATATATTAAAGGAGAATTTTAGTTTAAAAAAGGTTTTAGAAAAATTTAAAGTATATTAAACTTTAAACTTTCTACTATAATTTGCATTGTAAAACTAATTTCATTTAACAGCATGATGTTAGTTGATTTTTAAAGTAATACAATAGAATATAGCTGACAAACACAAATCAACGCGATGTAAATTTAATTTTTAAGATCCTGATGAATTTTTGTGTTTGTTTTGTTTATATATATACATATATGTTTATTTATATATATATATTTATTTATTTATAAAAATTAGAATTATACATGTTTTTTTTCCCTGTATATTAAAAAAAGTGGTGGTGATTATTGATCTATTACTTGGTACTCTAGTTAAAAATAAAGAAAATTTGAAGTGTATAAATATGATTGACTTTGGACTATCGAAAACATTAATTAAAAAAAATTTTTTTACACATTTAAAACAAATATCATTAAAAAATAAAACAAACATGACCTAGCTATTTAATTATTTCCTTGTGTGTGAATGCCTCCATCCCATCAAATATTCATGATGATCATGATTATTATGCAATACATTTGATGTTATAATTGGCATGACAAACAATTGCATCACCCAGGTAGTAATGATATCAAGACCATGCAGAAATGAAACTTTTAACAATGTGTGTCTACCCAGATCTCTGGGGTTCACAAGAATAAATGAATAGGAAGGATCTAAAAAAATTATTTTTCCTGATTATAAATCTGATATTGATCACAGGCATCAGATTTAATTAAATTTTCCTGTCACCAACATTGAATTATCACGCTTCAGTAACTGTGGAATTTTTTTTTCCACAGACTATAAACTCCAACATTATGTGGGAAGGGGCTCCATGTTGGGAAGGCTTTAGACAAAACTTTCCCTCATCTTCCTCTCAGACCAGGCTTGCTGTTGCCATATGGGTGTTAAGGATCAGTATTTGTGTGTTGTACCTCTCTATAATAAAGTTGGTATCTACAACTGTTCAAAATTCTGCAACTTGGGAGATTGCAACCTGGTTTATTGTTTTGGATTATCCCTGAATTCTGAGTTTTGAGTCCTGAGTTGTTGTCTTGTTGGTGGCACACCAACTTTTTAGCTAGTGTGCCAGCAGCCTTCTCTAGTCTGGTGCTGTGAGGGAAGATTAGTGAAAGTGTCTTTGACAATTGATGCATTCTTTTGTGAATTCTGGGCAGGTCACCCCCCAGGTATAACGTGTAAGTAAGTATGCACTTTTGAGACCGGAGTGCCACCTCCTGTAATCACCGTACATCACGCTAAAAATCCACTACATCATCATATCATCGGTCAAACCAAGTCCGATTAGCCTTTTGTACCACGAGGAAGACATCAGAATGACTGTAAAGTGTCCAATGTAGCGTGCGTGCTTCAACGCCTGCCGATTTCCGATAATCAAACATCGCATACATGAACCGTTTCTTCGGTGACAGTCGTGCTGCCTCGACATCTTCTTGTAATTATATATTTATATTAATATTAATATCACTGATTACACAAGCAAAAATATCAATCATTTATTTGTTTTCATCTTGATAAGGATATTATAATTACCAGCAAGTTCTGCTCCACATTTCGATTCCAATTTAAATATTTATAAACTAAAAAAGACATTATAATAAAAAAAAGTACCTCCGTTATTAACACTTTAGGAGACTCACATTTTGTCAACTTTGAAAACAAGATTGTTTTTCCGAAAAAAAAAATAATGTCTGAAAAACAAATCTTTGTACAACACAAGTGCCAATAATAATAATACACAGTAAATCTCGATTTAGCGGACCTCGATTTAGCGGATACTAATACTAATTAAATATCTCGGTTTTACGGATAAAGTTCAAAGGACGGTTCCATAATAAAAACCTTCTCAATATAGCGGATATTTCGGTTTAACGGATTTTTCCCTAATTGCACAAACTATCTGCTAAATCGAGATTCACTGTGTAGTTTAGTTGTTAATCGCGTTTGTTGATTAAATAACTCTTTTACAAAAAATGTCAGAATCAAATAAAAAAAGAAAACAAAAATCAAGAGTAAGAAGTTATTTCAGAGTAAGTATCATAAGAATGGTGGTGGTGGTGGTTATCTATCACTACTTGTCGTCACTCTAGTTGTATTATTAAGAAATGCCACATTTCTATTTTCATGTGATCTACAGGATTTTACTTTCAAAAAGATGTCATTCTATATTAAAAAAAGAGGACAAATTTTTTTTTTATATATATATAAATATCCTACACCGCGTCTTTTGTTTCAAGAAAAAAGATGGAAGGATGGAAATATATATCGGCAAGTCAATGACGTTTTGGAGGATGTAGGACTTGATGAAAATTTTTTGGATGGAAAAATGTATTTGTATGAAGAGGTCGAAATAGAAAAAGGTGAGTCCCTTCAATGGGTATTTAAGTAAATTGAGAAAGGAAAATGTTCATTTAGCAACATATGTCTTTTGAATGATAACTAGAAACTTTGTTATATCCATGCTTTCAATGAGAAAAAAATCATCGTGGATATATTTAAGGGAACACTTGGTATACTTGTTTGTGACATTGACTAACTTGTGTTTTGATCCATTGCATTATTCTTTTTTACAGATATGTCTCCTATCTTTTATTCTTCTATTAAACAAGGTAAATTAGACTTATTGTAATAATATGGATCTTTAGGAGGTGAAGGGGATTAATATATTATTTATGCATTCTTCCTTTTCTCTACTATATTGTTCTTCCGGTGTCTAATCACTAGCTCAAGATATGGCACTTGGTGAGTTTTATTTTACACATAAAGGTGTGACAGAATTTTTTTAATCGTGACTTGTGATAAAAAAAAGATACTGGTTATTTTGGAATATTTCTTTCTGTTTGTTCACTAACAACCTTCTGATGTTCCTTGATATTATAGAAGATGTTTCTAGAAAAAGTTATCTTTCGTCTCTTGAATATGAACTAGAAAGATTAAAGACTCTAGATAAAGGAAAAGCACTTGAAGGTGTAAAATATGCCAATGTGCCAGAATTTAGCATAAACAGTAGTAAAGTCCAACATACCAATCCTTTTTTAGAGTTATTGATACCATGCACTCCTTATCAACTTTATACAAGTGTCACGCCAGAACAACAATCAGTTCTGAAATTTATTTTGACGATTTTACTCAATTTATTTTATACATTTATTATAATTTTTGCTATATTTTTTATTATTGATGTTTTATGTTATATATATATATTATTTATATTAACATTAGTTGTTAGATATGTTTGGCTGTTTAAATATAAAACTACAACTCAAAATCAAATCTAACCATCCATATTACTTTTCCTTCCTTTGCTTTTGGTAGGTCAATCATATCAACAAAAGACACTAATGTTGATTTGTTAAAATCGTCTTTAGTCTTAATTGATTAATAAGAGTTGTCCTTGGTTGATAAAATCATATTTAGTCTACAAAGTGTATTTAGTTAACAAAATCGTTTTATAATCAATCAAAATGTATATAACAATTTGAATTCATGTACTTTAAAAATAACTTTTTCAAAAACTTTTTCTTGAATAAAAGAAAACAATAAGCTTTGGCTTGAAGACAAGTTTTGAATTGATAATCCTATTCTCTGGTAAATGCTTATTTGGTCTATTTATTCTATTATTACCCATAATTAGTAGAGTTGACATCGGACATTGTCTGTGACAACATGTTGGACATATCCATATCTGTGTCCAACTTACAACGGTTGGATATTGGACAATGTCCACTATAAAATGATTACAATTGATTAATATGATGCAAAAAATCTCAACCATTATTTTGTCATTTTTTATTATTATTAGTTTTCTTTACAAGTTTTTGAATTTGCTACTTAGCAACCTTGGGATTTCAGAAAAACGTGGCGCAGTATGCACTTCTATCATGGATCACGAATTAATAGCTTTTATATTTCCCTTCAAAAAAACCAAAATTATTTTTAAAATATTTACAAACCTTGCTATTTTTTCATATAGAAGACTTTTCCAGCATCGTTTATTATATGATAATTTTGATATTTTGCAATAAATAATTAAGGTAAGCTTGTTACTTTATTATTGATATTGTGCAAGGAATTCTAAGGAATATTTTGATCATTTCTATACCAAGTTTCTCTTTCATGCTTCTTTGATACTATTTTTTTTTTTTTTTTGAGCCTGGATCTATGCCAATAACCAGGTCCTTTTTGACAATTGTTATTAAAAAAAGATATTGATACTCAATATATATTGGTATAGGAATACATTAATATGTGGAAGTTAGCTCTAAAGATTTAAATTTTGAATTGGAAATTTTTTTTGTTTCTTTGCACGTGGCCATCAAAGTCATATGATAGCAGAAATTATTGTCACGTAGAATCAAAGGTCATAATCAATTTAAAAAGTAAATGGAAGCATCAGGAACAAGTAAAAAGGCAAATGATTGATGATTTAATTTATTATTATTATCTATTAATTTTTCCGAAGCTTTAAAATTTATCGGAGTGTAATTTACATTAAACTATTGCAACATTATTATTATCACCATCACTATTATTATTTTTGCTAATATTATTACCATTACTGCTACTAGCTTCATTTCTATTATTTAATAATCCCATTTCAATTACTCTATTATCATTCTTATTATTATCATTGCTATCATTAATAGTGTTACTATTAAGGACATTATTATTATTATTATTATTATTATCGTCTTCATCTTCATTTCCAACTTCTCTTGCTACACTTCCTCTTCTACTACCTCCTCTTTCCTCATCCACGTCTCTATCATCCCAATCTTCTATAAATTTATAGCGTGCAGGTATATGATCCAAATAATTCCCATTTCCAATAAACCAATCTGAATTACCAAAATATAATCTATAAGATATTAAGCCTGCAAAAATTCCTAAAATTGCACCTGTTATAATTTGAAATGGAAAATGTCTAAAGTCGTTAATCCTTGTGACTGAAATCCATGACGCAAATAATAGTGGGAGACATAAAATCAAAATCTTAATTATATAATAACAAAATCCTATTATTATTTAATTTATTAAAAAAATTAAAATTCACAGAAAAGAAATAAAAGTGCATGATGACTTACTTTCCACAAATATGAACCATTTGTCCATGGCTAAATAAATAAAATGTTAATTAATTAGATAATCCAGTATTATCGCACGATAATTATATATATCATTTACCTTTGATTTACCATTTATATATAATATGAAGAAAACCCATCCACCAAACGCAGTTGCTGAATGCCCACTTGGAAATCTTTATAATAATAATTAACATAATCATAATCAATTAATTACTAAAACAAAAAAACAATCACTGACTGATTGATTGATTGATTGATTAATTGACTAACTGACTGACTGCTAATTAATTAATTGGTTAGCTAGCTTACCCTTGAAATTCAGTACTTTCTAATTTTCCTGTACAAACATCATTTGTAAAATATATTTGACCTGGCGAAGCATTTATTTTCGATGGATCCGGCTGACATTTTGTTAAAAATGTTGGTCTAAGGCATAAATGTCCTCCAACAGTTGCCCATCCAAATGATGAAAAAAATAACGAGAATGCTTCAAATTAAGGAAGAAAAATATAGACGGATAAATAATGATAATGAATTGTTATTATTTTATTATCGTTGTTATTATTGTTGCTTTGTTTCCTCCGATAAAAAAATATAATTAAATAGAGTTGATTACCGATACAAGTGAAAAGACCTGTTAACATATGATAAAAGTTCCAAATATCAAAAAAAAATATCAACTCAAGTAATATTAATATAATACCAGGTATAAACGTATTTACTACTGTTGCAATTGCTGTTGGAACTATCTCAGGAATAACTGGTCTCTTTAATGATTCATCATAAACTGAAAAATATGGCGTTGTTGGCAAATTTGAATATTCAAAAAACCTGAAATTATTAATTGATGATAAATTTATTGATTAAAAACTAAACAATCAATTAATTAATTAACTAATCAGTTGATTACCATCCGGTTAAAAGGTATACAATAATAAGTAGAATCCAATCAAACAATAATCCTCGCAAGACTTTATTTTTTCTAGATGGAAAATTCCACGGTGACCAATATTTATTGTAATTTGTAGATGATGATTTAACATTATAGTAACCTCTAGGAAGTTTTACTAATGGTAAAAATTTGAAAAATTTGAAATTTTTCGTCATTTGTTATGAAAAAAGATAAAAAATTTTTATTTATCTATTTTACTTATTTTTCCCAAACAATTTACATTTATTTATAATTATTTTTTCTTATATAATCATTGCCAAGACTATAAAAAACTATTCATCTTTATTTATTTATTTATTATTATGATGTCACGATTTGGTGTTCGTGTAACATTTTTTAAAAAGGAATAAAAGAATTGATCTGTAAAAAAGTGATAGAATACAGTTTTATCACGAAATGAAATTTATCATTTTGTCACCGCATAATATTCTAAGAAAGTATTATATTTTGGAGGGGAATCTTTGATCTATGGAAAATTAGAAGTAAACATTGGTAGAAAACATGTGGGTAAATTAGTCCATTTAACCAATTTATTACTGACTTTAGAAAATAATAAATACCATTAGAAAAGCCGAAACTAAATTTTATTATTATTACGGATGCCGCCTGTACCCACACCTGCAAGACATGTCGTGTCTTCGTACTTCCAAGGTTTCATGCAATTTCATAATGAAACAAAATTCCGATTAGCAAAATATGCCAACAGGTATGGTAATTTTCTAAACGTCCAAACCAACTTTATGATTAACTCAACAGCAGGGTCGTTTGCAAATGTCTGGACTCTTCCCTTCTCCACGCCAAACACTATATAACGGTGGATTAACCCAATAATATCAAGACATTTGGAACTCCTTCGTTTTGTATGATTTTTCAGTCTTGTATCTGTAACTATAGTGTATACATGACGAATTGTATCCCGATCTCTCTCAATAGGTTCCGAACAAAATACCCTCAAATCCCAATTACTATCTTCTGTAAACCCACAGCCGGAAAATCAACTATCCTTGCTAGAAGTTTGATTATAAGTCCCTTAGAGTGTTCACGAAAGTGCTCCACAAATAACTTTTCTCTCCTAAAAGATAGTTTTTTATATATATGTTGATGGAAACAATAGAAATGAACATGTGATGGTAGTGGTCTACCGATGAATTCAGACAACTCATTCAGGGTTGATAAAAACCTGGATCGTATTTATAACTGCAAGATGACATTGTCTGTAAGGTCAAACAGTTCTATGATCAGTCCATAACATGCATTAATATAAAGCAATAACAAGTGTTAAAAGAAATAAAAAAGATATGCCAAGTGAATGAAACAATAAGCAAGCAAAACCAAAGAGTATAATAAGAAGAAAGTTACCCTCTGTGTCAGAAAGTGAATGGACAAGATTGTGTATTTATTAAAAAATTGAACACTCCAAACATTCATTCAATTCCTTGTTAATGTTGAACAATTAAATGAATGATAGAAGGTGGTTTAAATTTAAATTATTGAAGGAAAGAGAAATACCAAGTCAAAATGTTCCTCGAATGGGTAAATAAATAAGCGTAATTGAACAAGAGAAAAATATTTTTTTATGCAATTTGTTGATTTACCTTTTTCTTTATTCGTTCTCCGTAACGCTTCCCTACACTCCAAAATCTCCTATCTCTCCGAACTTCTTCAACTTCACCCTCGCCTCTTCGTACTCTTTCTTCGCCTTCTCCAGTTGTTCAATCGTTATCATTTTTAATTTTTAAAAAAAAACTTTTTTTATTGACACCAATTAAAAAGTGTTTTCAACGTAATAATAAGCAATTTTATTTTTGTATGTGAAATAATAACCTTGTAGCTGTTAGAAAGAGCAGAGAAAACAAACGGTAAATCAAATAATTTCTAATGATTTAGATTGCACAATGAGTACTATGAATACTTATTATGTATGTTTGTTTGTTTATTTACCAAGTGTGAATGTAGCAAGAAAATTGTTTGGAGTGGCAAAAACAATAATAATAAGAAAGAAAATTATCAAAAATAAATAATAAGAAATGATTATTTTCTACTGATAACATTTATTTATAAAATAGTTTTAAATATTTAAAAACCCTAAATCTTGATATTTTTGAAGTATTTTTCTTTCATCACTTTCTAGCAAAAATTCACCAAAGTTTAGTGCTAAAGGTTTGGGTCCTCTCCAATTCTTCATTAGAATATCCAAAGGATCATTACTAATATTATAAACCTTACAAGTAAACGTTATTGACTTTAAGTTTTTTGGTAATGTTTCATCTAATATTGCTAATATTTCGTCCCAATCTATTTTACCAAACCGATCATTAAATTTAATACTTTTTAATTTAATACATTTATTGAGCACTTCTATTAATTCCAGGTATTCATCATTATATGTTATGGACAAATTTTCTAAATTTTCGCAAGATTGTGCAATTGATTGAAATGCCTTTCTCCAAAATTCACATTCATGAAATATTACATTAGTAGAAACATACAGATTTTTAAAATTTTTTCCATTGATATTAATAAAATCAGGAAAGTTTGATAGATATGGACAATCAACATATACCTTCACCGATTCAATATTTGGCAGTGAGATATTTTTCCAAGTTTTTATTTTGCCATCAAGATAAGTTGGAGATGCTAACTCCAAAGTCTTTAAATTTTTAAAAGTTGGTAATAATAAATCATCTAAATTATCTCCAGTTCCATAAGATCCATAAAGAATTATTGATTGTGAATGTGTTAATATTGCTTTTTTTAATTCATCTGGTAAGATTTTTCCTGATGCTGATTGAATATATAAATATTTAATTTGCCTTTGTGCTTTAATTAGCCGTGCCAACCGTGCCGAATTATATGTATATTTGCAACATATTTGTAATGATTGAATATTTTTACAAATATTTGCTAATTTACCAAAAAATTTACCACTATAACTATCACAATTTATTTCATAAAGATTCCGAAAACAATCATCAAATCTATGATGATTTAAAAAATTATAATCCACATTATCATAACTAGTGCTAAACTTTCTAATGCCTTCTGAATGATCTAAAATAAATTTTTCTAATTTAATTGCTAAACTAAAATTTAATGCTCCAGTTTTTACCAGGTAATAAAAATCACTGTAATTGGAAAGTATAGTACAAAATTTGGCATAATTGTATAATGGTGGTTTCTCCAATAGTTTAAAAGTTAATTCAAGTCTAGTCAAGGGATCCTTATCTTCTTCCAGTAAACAATTAATTAATATTTTAATGCTGTTAAAAGAATAAAATGGGTTTCTCCATAAAGTTGAAATGTTGACCTTGTGCCATCGTTTGTTGACAAGAGTACAACAATACAGTGTTTTATAATCATCTACAATGTATTTGAATATTTCAGTTAAAAGTTCAGGTGGAAAACCTATTATTTCAAACATTGTTTTAAGAATAATTTGTTGTTGCACAATGTAAAAGTAAATTTTTATTTCCCAACCAATTAAAAGAATTTAAAGAACTCATTCGAATACATAAAGGCTGAAAATTTTTTCTTGTAAAATCATTCCGATTGAAAATAAAAATAAACTCTTAAAAAAATTCCCCAAAAATATTAAAATTAAATTCAATATCCTATCTAGTTTCTTCCCTATCAGTCTTATTCATTAAAGCCAATCATGCCTAAAGCAAAAAACCTTGGTCCCTGTGTTATACCTGAATGCAATTATGAAAATACTTGTAGATTTAGAAAAATGACCAAACTTGCAATTGAAAAAGTAAAAAATAAACATCCAGAAGGTAGTTACAATTTCATAGAAGAAGGAAATGAACTTTGTCATGAGCATTATATGAAAATTGTTGAATCAGATATACATGAAAAATACAAAAATAAATCATTAAATAAAAGTCAATGAATCTGAATCAAGAGAAGGTGAATTAGATTGCTCCAGGATTAAAATCAACTTAGTTGATGGTAATATCTAAAGATGATTTTAGAAACATAATTAATTATATTAATAATCTGATTAATGAAAATTCATATTATATAATGATGATTTTGATGTAAATAATGAATTAGTAATGGTAATTTACCTACTCTTTATTTTTATTGTAAAAATTAATTAATTACTAAAAAATAATCCAATTCTATTAAATATATTTAATTTAATAAAAAAATGGTTTATTTGCAACTAAAATCAAACAAAATACCAAGTAAAGCTTTTTACCAACAACAAAGAGCATTACAAGATAAAATTGAATTAGATCCAATTAAGTTTTCTGAAAATGATTAACAATTTGATTCAAGGCTTCAAGGATTTTTTGATGAAATGGCGGAGGCTCTAATTTCAGAGATAAGAACAAGGAAAGTATATTGTAATATTTGGTTATCTGTTAGTTGGACTGTGAAATAAATTTATCAATTCCATACCTTGCTGGTCAGAAACAAGTAGCAATGCTATAAAGAATTGGAATAACAATTTCATACAGAACTAACTATTAAAAATTACAAAAAGTTGCTTGCAAATACTTACCCCAAAATAAACAAGTATTTTATTATAAATGTAAGTTAATTTCATTTTATTATGGGTGGATTCTTTAAAATAAATTATTAATAATACATACATTTTCTTTAGATGAATTTTTTATTCTGTTTTAGCATTGACAATTATTGTTCTATTCATGGATAAAGGATGCCTAATACTACAACACTTTCAACAGCAAATCATATGTTTCAAAAATTGTTTCTGTACCTGCAGTTCATAATAATATATTTATTCATAATCCTCTAAATGTTGAAACTTCAAGAATAAACCTTCATCTGTTAAATGAATTCAAGGGGGTGTTTGACATTAGTTACAATATGTATAAAACAAAATGGATTACAGAAAATCCACACAAAGTTTTAATGAGTTTAATGGAATTGATCTTCTTACTGTTCATTTTTATGATGCTTCAATTTTAGAAAAACACAATGAAGGATCTATGAAAGGTGTTTGTATTGTTGAGATACAAGAAAGAAAACTGCATTCTCTGGATGATTATGTTCAAGTTCTTTTTATCAATTAGTAAAATAGAAAATATTTGAAAAATAATATAATACCAGTTTCTGCTGATTGGCCAGGTCAATTATTTATCAGAAAAGAAATTACAACAGGAAATGCAAAGCAGCCTTGATAATTATAATATTATCAAAAATTTTGTTTGGTTAATAGGACCATTACACTTGTCCTTGAATTCAAGAGAACATATTATAAAAGTATATTGGAAATTTTTAATAAATTATTTCATCATGTTTTTGGATTCAAAAAAATTCTAGCAAAACCAAAACCTTGGAAGATCAACTTTCTATTAGATCTTGTGAATAAAAGGCGGAAGAAAATAAAATTTCACATATTGTTGTAAATAATTTCCTAAAACTTGTAAAGATCTAGAATACAGATTAATGCTAGGTTTATTTATTAGATAACCCGATACCATCTACATTAGACACCTATGCTCTCTTATTTAGATCTAGCTCATTTGATGAATATTTAGAAACACTTTTCTGTATCTGGACTTTTGCACTAAGGTGGAATTGAAAAAATCATAATAAAGCCCCCTTGGCTTTATTATTATTGGAAAGACAAGAATCATCCTTTTAGTGAAGTAATAAAATTATATATTGCTAATTTTAATGATTATTATGTAGAAAATGTTCATAGCAGAATAAGAGCAAATACAATCTTATTACATTCAGCAGATGCAATTATTAAGAAAGCATGTACCTGCTTGATCTCCATGATCAATCAACAATAAATACTTTTAAAAAGGTTCATAATTACTCTTATTCTGAACCAATTTTAAAATATTTAACTATAAAATCAAGTTATTTTTATTAGAATATTTTTAATCAATATATGACAGGAAAATCAAGTGCAAAGGCCTAAAAAAAAGATACTTACATTAGATAAAAAATGTGGAATTAAAATGTCTTTCTACTGGTTACCACACACCTTTTCCACCAGATCCTAAATTATGCAATAAATGCAAAAGAACTTTTGAAAAAGATGGAGGAATGATATTTATATGCGGAGATGGATATAATATAAATTGCTATGATATATTAGACAAAAGATGTAAATACTGTGAGGAATATTACAAGAGAGGGATTGCAAAAATGTTGATTCATTTGTTGAAAAAGCCTAAATATTTTAACAAATGAAGATGTTGAAGAAAAAAGAGAAGAAGGAAGAGGTAGTAATATTGTAAATGCTGAAACAGGTTTAAATGTACTGACTGTATATCATAATAAACGAATTATTGATTACACTGAAAATTTCATAAAAGACACTGATTTTAATGAACATACAAAAAATTTAAAATGGCAATAAATTGGTAAAGATTCAGATAATTTATACATAGAGATAATTATCATGGCTGAATGTTCTAAAAATAAATTTCTTGCAAGTTGAATATTGTTTCTCCAAGCCCAAAGTACAATAACGTAACAAAATAATTAAAGAATTAATTAATGGATCTTTCAGATAACATTGTCATGTTTTTAAATTCATCCACTTTTACTGTCATTCTGGAAAACCGCAAATTATAGATGAATGTGCTATAGAAATCAAAAAATTAGCAAAAGTAAATGTCAAAAATGTACATTCCAAAATATTAATTTTTTTAAAATATATATAATAAATTGGATGAGGACATTTTGTGTGTTTTTATATTCCACATTTCTGGACATAAATGGATATCATAAATTCTATTGATGAATATTATTCACTCATGTTCTTTTATGTGGATTTTTACCAATGCTCACTTGTTATTAATTAATAATAAATAAATAACTTTATTATTTTTTTTTATTATAGTTGTTGTGATAATTATTATAAATTTCCCAAATTAATCAAAAAGACCTAGAAAATGATTTGAAAAAATAATATTAAAACGTTAAACTATTGGTAAATTAAAAAACATTTAAATAATATGTATTTATTTATATTTACCGAATCCCATATCATCATCGGATTCCTCTTTCTCTTCCTCCTTGGGTTTCTCTTCTTCTTTAGGTTTTTCGTCTGCAGCACCAGCAGCACCGCCACCACCAGTTGAAACTGCAGCAGGAGCACCACCTAATGATTAATTGATCAAATTAATTGTCACAATAATTTTCAAACAGAAAAACAAGGAAATCATATAAACTATTGTTTTAATGTATACCTGCACCAACGTTCATTAAAAGATCAGCAACGTTTTTTCCTTCAAGAGCTTTAGCAAATAAATTTGCCCAGACTGGTTCAACATCAATACCCGCAGCTTTGGTTAAAGTTGTTAATTTATCAGACTGAGAAAAAAATTTCAATTTTAACATGAATAAATAATAAATAAATAAATAATTAATTAATTTAATTTTCTCCACTCTTTTGAGATAGAGATTTTATAATTAAATTTACAGTAATTTCAACACCATCGTCTGCTAGAATAAGTGCAGCATAACTGATAGCAAGTTCTGAATTAGACATTTTTTTTGTTTTCTTTTAAAAATTGACTTTATCTTTAATAATCAGTAAAAAACTCGTGTGCGCAAATAACGATTTAACTCACAAATGGAGATACAATACGCTCAACACGAATTGATAAAATGGAAAAAAAAGTAAATAATTTTTTTCTAAAAGATCAAATTTTTTTTATAACTGAAAAAAAAAATTGAATCTGAATTGTGAAATTCAAATAGCCAATCAGACATTTCAAATTTTATTACAGGACCCTATTAAACTAGCTATCAATAATTCTAATAATTGAAAAGCTAATTCAACGTTGCTATTTAATAAAATTTCTTTATCATATCTATTAATAGACGATTTATTACTATTTGAAATGGATTCTCCATACAAAATCCTTATCTACCATTTTTAAAATCTTTTCTAGGGAAAGTTTTTTTCTTTGCTTTTGGCATTCTTATTTTTTTTTTTGTAGGTTGTTTACTGACAATATCATCATCATCGATGCATTTGAATATTTGAATTAAAGCTTCAAGTGGTAAATTTTTAAGTTTTTTTTCATTGATATTAATAAAATCAAAAAAATTTGATAGAAGTGGTTGATAACTAATATATAACTTCGCATTCATACCACAAAACAGGATAATGTTTAAGAAAAAACCTATACCCGAATCCAATACTGAATATGTTATCACCAAAAAAAAAACTTGATAAAATCGGCTTATAAAGAGATAAATTTTAATAGGAGCAGATAAAAACATCAGTTTATTATATGTATTCATTCGTTTTATCAAAGCGTCATCTTAATGTCTATATAATATTTTTATTTCTAAAACATTATTTGAAGTACTTCACTGGAATTTGAACTAACGATTTGAACTAATCAATTTTTTTTGTCCGTTAGTTATCTTTTGATACATATTAAATTTTTGGCAAACAATTACACTCGGTGGAAAAAGTCACCGGACACTTTATATATTGACATATTGCTCGGGAAAAACGATTATAAATTTCTATCCATGAATAGTTTAGGTACTCACTCATAAATAATGATATAGTGTAACGGTCGCGTATACCAATATAAAATAAAGTTATGATCAATAATTTTTTCCTTTAATTTTTTATTTAATTACGCAAAAATTGCGCGAAAATGAGTGGCCAGTTTTTAGTTACCAATAGAAAAGAACTCACTGAATTTGAACGTGGAAAAATCATTGCACTTTCAGAAAAAGAACAATCAGTGCGTAAAATATCAAATGACCTTGGATATCCTAAGTCTACTGTTCAAGATACAATTTCTCGTTATAAGACTAAAGGAGACACCCATAGCGCTCTCTGACAGTAAAACATGAGGAGGTGGAGTAATGGTATGGTGTTGCTTTTGTGGAACAGGGTTAGGTCCTTTGGTATTGATGGAGGGCAAATTAAATCGTTTCGGATATATACAGTTATTGGAAGAAAATATGTTGCCGTGGATTCATCAAAAATTCAATCATCGCCGTTATTTTTTTCAACAAGATAATTCGCCCATCCATACTGCCAAAGATACAAAAGCCTGGAACAAGTTAAAATGCTTCCGAACTGGCCTGCACAATCACCCGACTTAAGCCCAATTGAGAATCTATGGGATGAATTGCAAAGACAACTACGAAAACGAAATCCACAACCCGCAAATAAGCATGAATTGTATGCAGCATTGAAAGAAGAGTGGGAAAGAATTCCCAGAAAAACCTATAAGAAATTGATCGATAGTATGCCTAGACGTGTTCAAGAATGTATTGAGAAATGATAAGTTATTAAAAAATACTCTTCTTTTGTAGTAATTATAATTAGTTAAAATTAATGGGATTTTACATTTTCATTTAACAAACAATTATTTTTAAAAAAAAAAGTTTGAAATAATAAATAGTTGCTACCCGAACTTCTGACTAATATATTCAAATATATTGAAGATGATAGCCAAGCATTATATTTTTGTATTCTTTTCAACAAACATTGGCACAATATAAATATTCCAACTTTATGGAAGAGCCCATTTGATTGTGAAGGCAGCATCAAAGTATTAATTAATTGTATATTAGAAAATGACAAGGATTTCTTAACTAGAAATTGCATTGAATTTACTTTTAAACTATTGGAGAAATCACCATTATACGATTTTGTACCAGCCTTTTGGTTTTTATAGTCTTCAATGCCTGATAAAAATTAGATCATTAAATCTTGAATGAATTTTAAAAAATAAATTAGGAAACTTTATTTTAGATCATTCAGCTGGTATTAGAGAGCTTAGTACTGCTGATTATATAGATTGTAATTTATTAATTAACCATCATAGATTTGATAATTGTTTTCAGAATCTTTATGAAATAGATTGTGGTAGACCTTATAGTGGTGAATGTTTTGATAAATTAGCAAATATTTGTAAAAATATTCAATCATTAATAGTATACTATGCTAGTGATGACAAAACTTCATATTCAACAATGTACTGCCTTGATGCCTTCATGTAATTATATATTTATATTAATATTAATATTACTGATTATGAAAAGCAAAGGGGATATGCAGGTTGAGTATAGTACACTTTGCGCAATGAGTATAGTACAAACATAAGTATAATTAGATTGAGTACAGTAAGTACATTTATAGGTCCACATACCTGGCCCAAAAAAGGCATGTAAGTACAATTATCATTACCAAAAATGATTAAAAATGGTTTGTACTATACTCACTGCACAAATTGTACTGTACCCAATCTAACACAACCAAAAAGCAAAATACCAATCATTCATTGTTGATAAGGACCTTATTGCCCAGCAAGATCTGCTCTGCATTTTGATTCCAATTAAAATGTTTATATAAAATAAAAGACACCACATACATATCAATACAAATAAAAAAAACCTATAAATACATCTGCTTCAGAACCATACCATACCAAACAAATTGTTTTTCCAAAAAAAAAAAATCAATTCACATCTGTCCCCAAAAAAATCTTTGTACAACACCAAATGCCAATAATAATAATTGTGTTTTTTTTTCTTAAAAAACTACTAAAACAAAAAAAAAAAACAAGAGAAAAATTGTGACAAGTATTTTGGGTAAGTGTTTATCAAAAGAATGGTGGTTGTCACCACTCATCATCACTCTAGTTATTTTTTAATAATATTTTTATTTTATATACTTAATTTTATTTATAGCAATGACAAACTTAGAGAATCACCAAGAACAATTACTAAGATCTAGAGTGGGCAAATACGCAGTCAATTGATGGTCTATTGGTGGTCCATTGGGTCCATTAGTGTAACACTTTAACCATATTTAGTATTTATTAATGGCAATGGACCGGTCCAAAATCCATTTGTTCTCAATGGTCCAGTCAATTTGCCAACCCTGCTAAGATTCCACTAGTGAATCCTTTTATTGATGATGATTATGATGGTATTGCTGATGAGGAATTAAGAGAAATAGTTGAATATAGTATAGTTTTATTACTATTACTAACTTTAACAAATGCTATATTATTTCCTATTATCCTCTATATTGGAAATTTTATTTTAATATTAGATACAAGTGTACTAGCAACTCCAGCTCCTAACAGATATGATGAAAGTGTAAATGATTATTATGAAATAGAAGATATAAGTGATGACTATGACTATGACAATGACTATAATGATGATGATGATGAATTGCTATATTTTTATAACTGTTTAATAAAATATCAAGTATTTAATATGATACTCACTCATAATTAATTAGAAAATTAAATCTGAATATAACAAAACGAAATGGAAATTAAGGTCAGGACAATATCTAGGAGATATCATGTATAAATATGGATTAACTCTTAATACAGAAGATTGTGTGCACTTGTGGATTTTGGATCTTTCTGAAAAACCTTATGGATAAACTGGTGATGATGAAAAAGAAAGAATTGCTGAAGATTATCTACCATTTCTGGAATTATCTGTTCATTTTTTATTTTCACATTTAATTGTAAATATAAATACTTTGGTAATTTTGTACTTTTAATGTTTTTACTTATATTTTAACTTAAAAAATTTTCCCTATAATTTTTATGATTCAAATGAATTACAAAAAAAACTATATAGGACTATCTTAAAGTAAATGAAATGCATAATAAATAATTCCATTTTATTTTTGAATCAATAAAGCATTGTTTTAGACATATGCTCTTTTTTTGGGAGGACCCACAAAATTCCCTACTCAAAAATCAAAATGAAATGTAAATGTTTGGAGTGTATGCAGAGATTTAATTATCAGGAGCATTCCTATTTTTAATAATCTCAGGTATATATCATTGATATCCCCATAAATTTAGATTCTTTTATTATTACAATATTGATAATACTAATAAATAAATTATTATTGATCCAATCATAAAAATAAATAATAATTCTTCTAATTGAATTAACATTCATATAATATTCATGCATTTTATTATTTGATTGATTCATCACATATGCACTATTAATTAGTTGGCCATATAAATACTTGCTGATAATTTGAACCAAATCTTCAAAGAAAAAGTTTACTACTTTAAATAAGTTTTTTAATTGAGCATGCACAAGTGAGCTATGTAAATTATGGCATATAAAGTGTACAACATTCTGTTGTAAAAAATTGTTACATGGAAAATTAAGTTGCAACATTTTGCTGTACATCATGAGTTGAAAAAAAGAATTATATAAATTTCAAATTTAAGCTTTTTATTTTTATTCAATTCTTCATTTTAATAGGATCTGATAATGCCAAATTAAATGTATCATAGCCAGTGTAAAAAAAGTTTTTTTATCAATTCATTTTTTTGATATGGATAATCAATCTATTTTTTTATCTTGGCATGTATCCAACCAATTGAGATGAAATAACTTGTGTTAGCACTCAATTGAACTCTAGATCATGTAAAAATAAAAATGCTATATAAGTATTTTGATGCCTTTAAAATTTTTTTAATAATATCTCTTTACATTATTATATCTCAGTATGTATCCAATGAATTGAGATGAAATAACTTGAGTTAGCACTTCTTTGGGCTCTAGATTAAGAAAATATTATATAAGTATTTTGATGCCTTTGAAAATTTTTAATAATAATATTAAATATTTTTTTACATTACTATATCTCAACATGTATCAAATGAAATAATTTGTGTTGGTACTTATTTGTAATCTAGATTATGTAAAAATGAAAACGTTATATAAATATTTTGATGCCTTTAAAAACTTTTTTATAATATCTCTTTACATTATTATTATATTTCAATATGTATCCAATGAATTGAAATGAAATAACTTGTGTTGGCACTTATTTATGTAAAAATGGAAACGTCATATAAATATTTAAGTAGCTTTTTCTAAATATAAAAAATATAAATATTTTATTTAAATTACCTTTAAATTTCTGTTTCGACATATTTCAAAAAAAGTAGCATTGTAAAGTTTTAACTAGAAAACCATCTGTAATTAAGCAAAAATTGCAACTTTGATTTTAGTTTAAAGTATTACTTTTCTAAATCATGTATAAATAAAAGTAGTTCTTTATATAAACCAATAGGTTATTTTAAATTGCCAAAAAAAAATATTTAAGTGCGACATGTCCAAGGACTGTTTTAATTGATGCTTACGAATAAAAATACTCAAGATGTTACCTCATTGAAAATATTATGCTCCCCTCAATAAATATGGTAGGGGAAAGATATAATTTAATTTTGTGAGTGTTGATATATTAGGTTCATTTGGTAAATGAAATTATGGAATTGGTTGAAGTTTGTATTTTGATTATAGTGAGATGATTGATAATTGATGGAATGTAAGAAGACAGCGAAACAAAATAATGTACAAGAAAGTATATAAACATTATTTGTATATGAGATACTCTTTATTAATTTAGTCCGAGCCATTTACAACTTCAGATACTGAAATAAAAATCCGAAGTTTGGTAATCAGACATGATAATAGTTACATTATAGAAAAAAATTTAGATGATATTTTTAACTATAATTTTTTATTATGGGATATTTTGTGACTCACACGCATGCAATATACTGTATATATTAATATTCATTATTTGATTAATCGGATATTTGATTTTTCATTGATTGGTTGACCAAATATAAGCGAATAACTGATAATCCGTGAATAACTAATACTGAACTGAAATAATTTTGAGTATTCAAGCTCTTCTAATTCTCATTCTTGTGATAGTTCTCATCTTTCATTTAGTCACTTCGCTTTGAAAAGGCATTAGATTTTCTGTTGAAAAAATTATATCAGTCCAAATTAAGGTTTCCGGTCCAAACTGTTTTCTCAAAGCCCAAACTAATTTAGGCAATTTGGGCTTCTCAGCATTTTTTATAAACATTAACATTAAAAAACTATACCAATCAACTTATTTTAACTTAAACAACTTTAAAGTAATTTTGCCCAATTTCAGATAATAACAAAAAATAGTTTGGGCTCATAAAAAAGTAATTTTTGCCCAAAGTGTTTTGGCAATTTTAGTTACTAATAAAGAGAGTTTCAGCCAGAAACCTTATTTGGGATGCCATAATCCCAAATGATTTTGGATTTGGACAGCATGTATAATAGATAATGTTTTTATATCTTCATTGTTTGTTACTGATTCAAAACTGAATGAAACCTGGTTTTCCGGATCTCTTGTTGGTGTCATTATAATTGCTTTTGGGTTAAAATTAAATGCTGATGATAAAAATTTAGTTATTTGTAAAGTAAATATATTAATTCTGGTCTAAAATTAAAAAGAAATTCAAATTTAATATTCTAAATGTTAACAAACAAACAAACAAACAAGTAAATTTGAAAACCCTACCCTTTCCTTGGCTAAAATATCATATCCATTATAAATAAGATTAGAAGCTGCATCAACTAGAATGACCAGAATGATGACATGTGGCAATAGCCACCACCATTCTTATGTCTTCCTTCTTTTCATTTTTTTCTGATCCCTTGGCATTTTAAAAAATTTTTTTTTTAAGAAAAAAAAGAAAAATTGATTGTTGATTCTTTTAATATAATAATGAGTGATCTGTCTTGATTTTCGATAACCTCCAACCAATTAATTTCATTAGGTTCAATCATTCCTCATTTACATTATGAAAGCAGATTGGAGATATAAACTTTAAACAAAATCAAAAGGTATATATTAAATAAATATACAAAACAAAAAACGCCATATAGTGATGCCTGGGAATGAATATGAAGCAGTTAAAAAAAATGATAAGGTACAGTTCACACTCTCTATATATAATGGATATAATAATAACGGAATGTTACTATAACATGATTTTCGAAAATTTTGGTAAAGCTCTCTAATAGCAATAATCCGGCATACGCATTTTTTATTATTAATATAATATTAATAATATTAAGCAAACTGGACGGGTATAATATTTTCACCGATTATAGTAAACCACAAATTTGGTCAGAGGTTAGTTTTTTGAGTCGTCAGGTCATCCTCTAAAAAATCACGTGGTCGTACTTTTTTGCTGGTTACGCTGGGAAGATCGTATAAACTTTTTTTAAAAAAATAAAAATGAATAAAGTAACTTTAAATTTACTAATCCAAGCAAAAGATTCTTTCTTAAGTAGTAACAATAATAAGAATGATCATGTAGTTAAAGAAATTGATAAATTAACAAACTCATATTTAGATATATTACAAATACTGCATTCACTAATAAATTGCACTGATGATAATAATAAAGATAGCATTAACAATATGGATATTAGTAGTGGTGGTGAATCAAACATTAAGTTTATATTATCGCTTTTATTAAGGTTTACACCAAACATTCATGAAATATTACCACCAAGACAAATGGTTAAATGTTGTGAAGAGATTATGAGCATTTGGTTTGATTTGGTTGAAAACACCAGTTATGATGATAATAATAATTGTAATAATATTAATAGTATCACAAATATGACTAATATAATGGAAAGAATAATTGTTAAACTTGCAAACAGACAAGAAACTTATTCATTTATTTCGTTATTGATGGTGAGACATTTCGTGAGTAGGAATGAGAAGAAATCAAGAGATTGGCCATTAAAATCATCAGATTTAGAAGAAAAGGAAAAATTAACAGAATTAGAATTTAATAGACTTAGAAAATTGGATGTTTTAAGAATTACTAATAGCAATAACAACAACAACAACAACAACAACAGCAACTATGACAATAATAGTTATGGTTTTGGTGACAATGTTAGAAGAAATAGTATTAAAAGTGACATTATTATGAATATCATTAATTCTAGTTATAATAATAGTAATGATAACAATAAGGATAAATTTATAAAGAAATCTAGAATATCAGAAAATGCAAAAATATTTATTGCCAATAAAAATAGTAGATTATTAAGATGTTGTACTCTAAAATCAGGTAAAGACAATTATTGTTGTTATTAATTTTTGACACTTTTTTCTAAACAAATTTTTTTTTTTCTTTTTCTTTCATGCAAATAATAATATTTAGATTTGTTAGAAATTGATAAGGATAAAATGAATATTTTGGTGAAAATTTTTATTGATGAAATGGTAACAGTGGAACCACCAACCTTGCTAACCGATTATATATTGATTGTACCTAAACCTATTCCATTTGAAAGGTATAATTTTTATTTTTGGAGAGGAGGGGAAATGAGATGGGATAATAATATTAGTTTTTCTTTTATGAATTAGAGACAATATAATTCAAAAAAAGTTTAACGATAGTCCAGAATTATGGGATTTACTTCAATTCATTACATATGGTAATTCATTAATACATATTAATAATATATTATTATTATTATTGATGTTGCCATATAATGTTGATACTAATTTATTAATGCTTTTATTACTTGGAATTTTTTACCACTCTAACACTGGCAGATTATGATAAATTTGAAGAAGTTTTTGATTTAATATTAAGACCATTACTTGCTATAAATATTGGCTTTTGGTATCGTGTGAAAGATCAGAATCCAAATAACTATCCTTTAGAATTAAAATCATCTGAAAGATTATTAGAGATGATGAAGACGGTAAGAATTAATAATACATAGTATATTTAATATACATAATTTATATTTTTAATTTATTATGCCCACTTACTTACACTCATGTTTTCACTTACAATATAATTTTTAGGCTAAATATTTACCAGAACCATTAAATCATGTGGGAAAATTATTTCCACACATTACATCAAATGATATTGGTTACTTATTATTTGAATGTATTTGGAAATTTATTATGGAAAATAGGCAGCAATGTCCATATTCTGATGACGATTATGATGATAATGATAAATTGGATGGATTCAAAAATTATTGGAAAAGAATTAGAAAGTTGAAATTGACTGTACAGAAAAATATTATGATGATTCCTCAAGAAATTGCTAATTGGATGTGTAGTAATGTTGGTGATGACGATGATCAAGAATCAAAGTCAATACATGATGTTCATCTTCTCAAATCAATTAATAATAACTCCCACTTATTGTATAGTGATTAATTAATTAGTTAAAATATTTTTAATAATAATTGTCAAATTTTTATATACAGTGTGTTTCAAAAAAAAGGGCGCGCACAAAAAATTGCATATCTTAACAATTATGCAAGATAAACAAATAAAATTAGATTCATTTAAAAGCCTATCGAATACTTTATTAAA